ATATGCTTATATTCCTGGTATAAATTACTGACAAAAAGGAAAAAATAATGACAAAAACAGATAATAAGAGTGGTTGAAGAAGAAAGACCCAGAGGCTTAGGATGGGATGTACAAGAAGAGGTGTTAGTCTTGGATTAAGAGAAAACACCTCTACCACTAAAACTAAAGCCAGGACAGGGGAACAGATAAGTTTAAAGTGGGGAATCAGGGAAATTAAAGAGTTCCTGCCTCATAGCTCTAATTTCTCTTACAAGGCCAGGTGATGAAAATATGAGGAAAAAATATAGCATAGCTGAAGATAATAGAGTTTGGAGTAAATCCACAGAGACAAAGGATTTTCTTTATGTGAGTATATGGGTGGTGTGTGTGTGTACATACAGGTGCATGCCTCTGTGCATGCATTTATGTAGCTGAAATCAAGAAGCCCTAGACTGAGCTTTATCTGTCAGACTGTACTTTTCTTGAAAATTTTTTTGCATCCCCACCTCCAAATCACAGCCAGCCCTTCAAAGTCAGCAGAAGATCCCATCTGACTCTGACTACTGCACCCTCCCCCACGGGCAGTAAACAGTCCCAGGCTCCCTGGGGTCCTTACTCATGCTCCTCTCCCAGGAATGTCTTGGCAAAGAGATGGCCAAAGAGAATAGGACTGGAGAAATATAAGACTCCTATAAACTGGTCAAGAGCTCTTCTCAGGACCAAGGTAGGTCACCGTAGGAAGACTAACAGAGACTCAGGCCTTCTATCAAGACCTAGGAAGTCCCAGTGCAGAGAATGCCAGCCCTTTAGGCTTTAGCCAGAACTTATCACACAGGGTTTGATTCTAGAAATCATCAGAAAATGAAATTGACTTTGCACAAGGCCTAGCTAATCTAGGCCCTCTCTGATCCTACTTGCCCTACTGTGGGGACAGTAGGAAACTGGGGCAAAACTCCAAACAGGAGACAGATTTAGAATAGTCCAGCTCAGCAAAGGGGTGAAAAGAGGTCATATTTTCGTAGGTTTGTACAACTAAGAAGAATACCCAAATTCCTCACAGCACTAACAAAATCAAAATCAAGCTTAAGGGAAATACCTTGCTCAAAGTAAACAAGTAGACCTTTTTTTCTTTCTTTTTTTCCTGGCAGTAGAATTTCAAAAAATGTTGAACTGTGTGCACTTCTGTCCATCTGGGATCTCTGTCTCCTCCTTACATCACTGATCCTTGACAATAAATAGATAGATAGATAGATAGATAGATAGTCCTTTTGGCATGGAGGAGCTGCCAGGAGGGCATACAGATGGAGGACTGGAGGAACATTCCATCAAATGTGCACTGTGGCAGGAGCAGAGAAAACAGAGGAATTCTCATTCCCTCTTGCCTGAGTTTTACTAAGGAAGGCTGGAGATCTTGTGCCTTCAGGAATTGCAAGACATCAGTAAGTCCTATTCCCTGACTCCAAATAAGAATAAATTTGCAGAGAGAACAGGCTGATAGTGCAGCTACTTAGAAAGCTTCAGAGGTAGAGATTCCCCCAACCCCTTTGCTGTGATTGTCAGGACTGGGAATGAGAAAGGAAGTTTTCTTTATTTGAAAAGGCAATGCCAATGTCTACAAATATTCCCAAGGTTACTAGGAAATCTCTATGTACTTAGGGCTAGAAGGACATAGCTCACACATTTTTACTCTATCCTCTTCCCTCTTTTAGGTAGCCAGGTCTTCTCCATCAAAGCTCCTCTCTCCACAGAACAGTTTCTCCTTTGTTCCTCACCCTGGAATTTCTCCTGGTCAGCTCTCTGCTCTCTCCCACCAGGCTGTCTGAACCTCCCAGGAAGGAGTGATTCTAAATACCAGAAAGATGATTCAAATCTAGACCTCATTATTGATGGAGCTGTCTTACCTACTTCTTTAAGAAATGGATCGTTTTAAAATTAAAAATTTTGGGCCGAGCCCGTGGCGCACTTGGGAGAGTGCGGCACTGGGAGTGCAGCAGCGCTCTCGCCACAGGTTCGGATCCTATATAGGGATGACTGGTGCGCTCACAGCGCTCACTGGCTGAGTGCGGNGGCACTGGGAGTGCAGCAGCGCTCTCGCCACAGGTTCGGATCCTATATAGGGATGACCGGTGCGCTCACAGCGCTCACTGGCTGAGTGCGGTGCGGTCAGTCTCAAAAAAAAAAAAAAAAAAAAAGGACAAAAAAAAAAATTAAAAATTTCTAGGAGCAAGTACATGGTTTGGCTGCATTATCAAAAGAGTAAGGGAAGGGAGTCTATCATTAACTTGGTGCAGTTAAAGCCAGGGATTTAATAGGGGTGCTTTGAAGGGAAAAGGAAGCTAGAGGTTTGAGGGAGACCATAGGAAAAAGTCATGAAGACCAGTTCCAGTCATAACAAACAGGATTTTTGCAGCGACTATTGGTATATTTCCATGTTGCCGTATAAACTTCATGATTATCATTTTATTTATTACATATTCTATCCAGTTGGTGTTCAGTCAGACACTCCAGGATATGGAGCTATTAGATCATTTCCATTTTTTATTGAACATAAAATTGTAATGTGCTTCATTCTGCAGACCATGTTTTAGTTTTTTTGAGTTATATTATTAGCGTAAATCCAAGGATTTACAGGATTGCTGACTAAAAGCGTGCAGTTTACAATGCCATCATCAATGTGTAGATATCATCTCACCAGAGTCTTCCTGGGATTATTATTGTGAACTTTTTAAAAAAATTAAATATTACAAAATTGGATCCATGTTCCTGTTATAATTTACTTTTTAAAAACTAGTTAAGTTAAACATTCCCCAAATGATTCTTTTACTCTTCAATTCAATTTCTTCTAGCATAACTTTTCTATTTATGCCTTTAATACCAGGCTTTATAAAACTTCAGGGTAAAGTGGCCTAAAGAGGGAGTGAGGCTATGGGTGTGGAGACCAGTTCTGAGAAGGTAGTTGCAATAATCCAATTCAGGTCCCATTGAAAAATGTGATCATAGTTAAAAGTCGTGGCTAAGACATTTTCGAGTCAATAAAGACAATAACAACAACAACCAAGTGAAGGGAAGAAAATGAAATACTTAATGAGCATTTGATTAGCAGTCCATGAGCAAAAACCAAGGTAGAGTAAGATTAAAGTAGTCTGATCACGATCTCCAAATAAGTGTCAGAATTTCAGAGTTTGCTCCACAAAATTTTCTTCAACCACTAAGACATTTTAAAATGAGCTATGTCAACTATGTGCGGTAGATATAACTTCTGTTTTATAGATGTGAAAATTGACCTTCAGAAGGGTTAAGTGACTTTCTCAAGTTCACAGAGCTTTCAATTTCAGACCCAGCTTTTTTTTTTTTTGTCTTTTTTCGTGTCTGGCAACGGATCGCAACCCTCAGTGTCGCGCC